TTTTTTGAGGATTTGGAATAAGTTATCCGCAAAAAGAAGTCCTTCTACAAATTTGTCGGGGTGCAATGCGAGAATCGGATCAGAAGATGGGGAGCATAGGATTAAGAGATTTGGATCAGGACAGGGTGAGAAGATGACCATCTTATCAGACTCTTATCCGTCGCACGACTTTTTCATGGCAACTTCATCTTCATGTTAAAAGAACATTGGCGGTGGACAGGGGAGTCATGCTAAACGGTACACTATGCGGAGATTGACCACTTCTCATTAACCGAAGTCGATTACTGCTCTCAGTGGTACTATGAATCAGCATTGGTTCAGATCACCTCTCCTTTGAACAAAAGTGCGATTCAGCCAAAAGCTGGAAAAGAAGATTTTTCACTGTGTTGGAGGGAGGAAAGTTGTATATGATAGCGTCAGACTGAAGGAGACTGACCAGATAGACTCCTGACCACTTATGACCGGCTCAAAGAGGGGACTCAACGAAAGAGCAAAATCTGCTTCTCAAGGGAATGAGATCCTGTGTTGAAAGTGCCTCAATTCCCCGAGTGAGAAACTTGAAGCGAATAAAGGCCAAAAAAAATCTTTCCTTCCTAAACAGGATCGGATGCGCAGCACCGTGGCCTAACACTGTAGCTGCCTTGAAGGCTCTCCAACCCACAAAGTGCTGGAACGACTTCTGAAGTACAATAGATGCACACAACATCTCGTCGGAATTCGCAATTCAGTTACGAGATCAATGTCTTCGCAATCCAGTGGAATATGTCTTTAGAGCAAAACGTCGGTGGCTTGGTCACTTAATGAAAAGGAAAGGCGACAGTATACCAAGAACTCTGGGCGGACCTCGCGGAGCAAAACATTTTCGCGGAAGGCCAACAACCACATGAGTCGACGTGCTCTTCGCACGGATGGACCGGCCAAATTCTCAGCTGGTAACGGTGCCTTGCGAACTTCGCCGCCGCAGTTCAACATCGTGGATGGTGGATAAGCTAGCGATAGAAAGAAAGGATGGAAACAATGTTGGGGCTGCAAAACGAAGAGATAGGCCATCTAATTAAGCATCTAAGTAACTATCTCATCTTGAATGGAGTGGAGATGGAAAGCAAAAGGTAAGAAATGGAAAATGCATTAAGCTTTCGCATGTTGTTAAGATTACCTCTTGTCTCATGCGCTGCCCTCCGTACGCATTGCGCCAGCGAGCTCTTTGCTCAAAATCATTCGGTTCGGTCAAAACCACCACCAAAAAATTCATGCAAGAATAGTTCAATGATGGTACAACGAGATATTTTGTAGGCCGCAAAAGCTGAAATAGCATCATGCTTGGCTTTTTTATAATGGTGGTATCTGAAATCTTACCGAATTTTTGTAGGCTTTCTCCCCAAACTTGCAGTGAGTAAGAGAATTCACCGATTCGGTACTGCAGAAAGTCCGCCGTTCCTTAAATTTTCAAGAAACACATTTGCGTAAATTTAAAAGAGTTATCAGATACCTTTTCTGAATCCTTAAAAGCTTCATGCAGTGGTAGGAATGCTACAAAGGCATATATTAATA